AGCTGTTCTATCTCTGCCCCTCTCCTTGGGCCTCCCTATTGCCTGAGACACAAAGATATTGAAATTAGGCCAATTAAAAACTCTACAATGGCCTCTAAGGAAGGAAGGAAGGAAGAGGGGAGCATCACTCACTTTAAATCAAAAGCAAGAGATGATTAACTTTAGTGAGGAAGTCACTAAAACCAAGACAGACCTGTTTTGGTCTGTCTTGAAAACCAAGTCTTCTTGTGCCAAACAGCTAAGTTGTGAAAACAAAGAAAAAGTTACTGACAAAATTAAGTGTTACTCCAGTGAATAAACAAATAAGAAAGCAAAACAGCCTATTACTGATATACAGAAAGTCTGAGTTGTATGGATAGAAGTTCACACCAGTCACACTCCCTAAGCCAAAGCCTAATCCAGAGCAAGGCCCTAAGTCTCTGCAATTCTATGAAGGCTGAGAGAAGTAAGGAAGCTTTAGAATAGTTGAAAGCTAGCAGAGGGTGGTTCAAGAGTTTATGAAAAGAAGTTGTCTCCATAATGGAAAAGCACAAGGTGAAGCAACAAATGTTGATGGAGAAGCTACAGCAAGTTATCCAGAAGATCTACCTTAGACAATGGCTGACAGTAGCTACAGTACACAACAGATTTTCAGTATGTACAGCCTTCCATTGAAATAATACTCCATATCAGATTTTCATCGCTAGAGGAGGAGTAAATGCCTAGCTTCAAAGGACAGGCTGATTATCTTGTTAGAGAATGCAGCAGGTGACATGAAGTTGAAGCCAGTGCTCACTAAGCATTCTGAAAATCCTAGGGCCCTTCAGAATGATGCTAAATCTACTCTGTCTGTGCTCTATAAAAAGAACAACAAAGCCTGGATGACAGCATATCTGTTTACAGCATGGTATACTAAATATTTTAAGCCTTCTATTAAGCCTTCTAAGATCTACTGCTCAGAAAATAGTTTCCTTTCAAACTACTGCTGCTCATTGACAATGCACCTAGTCATCCAAGAGGTCCATTAGAGATATACAAGGAGATTAATATTGTTTCCATGTCTGCTAACACAATATCCATTCTGCAGCTGACAGATCAAAAATTTTCAAGTCTTATTATTTAAGAAATAAATTTCATAAGGCTATAGCTGCCATAGACTGTGATTCCTCTGATGGATACAAGCAAACTAAATTCAAAATCTTCTGGAAAGGATACACATTCTAGAAGCTGTTAAGAACATCTGTGTTTAATGGGAGGAGGTCAAAATATCAACATTAACAAGAGTTTGGAATCGAATCCTCAGGATGACTCTGAGGGGTTCAAGACTTCTGTGATTATAGAATAGCAGGATCAATTTAAAAAAATGCTTCAGTGGAGGAAGTCTCTGGAGATGTGGTGGAAATAGCAAGAGAACTAGAATTGAATGTAGAGCCTGAAGATGTGACTGAATTGCTACAATCTCATGATAAAACTTGAACAGAGAAAAAGTTGCTTCTTATAGATGAACAAAGAAAGTGGTTTCTTGAGATGAAATCTACTTCTGGTGAAGATGCTGTGAACATTATTGAAAAAGATAACGAAGATTTTAGAATACTACATAAACTCACATGATACCGCAGTGCCAGGGTTTGAGAGAATTGATTCTAATTTTGAAAGAAGTTCTACTGTGGGTAAAATGCTATCATACATCGCATGCTACAACTAAACATTTCCTAAAAGGAAAAGCCAATCAATGAGGCAAACTTCATTGTTGTCCTAAGAAACTGCCAAGCCACTCCAATGTTCAGCAACCACTTATCAGTCAGCAGCCGTTGAGACAGAGACAAGACCTTCCGTCAACAAAAATAGTATGACTCACTCAAGGCTAAGATTAACTGTTAGCATTTTTAAAAATCAAGTATTTTTAAATTTTGGTATATACATTATTTTAGACATAATGATGCTGCATACTTAATAGATTATACTACATTGTAAAATCTAACTTTTATATACACAGGGAAACCAAAAAAAATTGTGACTTGCTTTATTGCAGTAATCTGGAACCAAACCTGCAGTATCTCTGAGATATGCCTGCATAAATAACAAGAGAGTGTTACCTATAAAGACTGTATTTTGCGGTACCAGGTGTTACTTATGGGCTTAGCAACTTCTAGACACTCAGACTCTGAACCTTAAGGAAATATCAGAATGACAGAATTATAGAATCTCAGAATGTCAAAAGTTGAAGAGGAGCTGAGAGCCTATCTACCCTCACAGTTCTCAATTTTTTGTGGGTCACAAACCCATTTGAGAATATGATGAAAGTGGCACATCCGTTTTCCAGACTCATGCAAGCAGAAATACAGACACAACTTCAGGAGGTTCGTAGTCACATACATCGAAGCTCATCCAGTGATCTCACAATATTCAGATGGCCAAACAACCAGAGAGGATAAGGTGACAAATCACTTGCCCAAGATTAAATAGTGTCAAGGTTCAGGCTGGGATACGGGCTTTCCAGGTTATATTAAACATCCTATTATCCAGTCAGTCCTCTGTCACCGTGGCTGTCTCCCTGCATTCCAGAGCAATGCTCCAATGCTTGGAGAAAGGCTTCAAATGCTCTGATAGAACTGCCTCTGACCACACCCTACTTCACAAATTAGAGTTTATGGTCCATCTAATTTACGCTCCCATGCAGTGGTCTATGGCCACCTTAGGTATACTACAGTCATTCTGTGGCTGCCTGCTCAGCTGACCTTAGCCACAGGAAGCATTACTTTCGTCTTAGTGTTGTAAGCGCATTCTTAAACCAGAGTTGTTTCCAAAAAGTTTTCTTCTCCACCTATGTTGTCAACTCAAAACTCCTTCCCATCCTAAACTCATATTACTTTTCTTTATCCTCATCAAAAATACCCGTCTGTCACTTAAAACTTCCCAGTGTTCTCAATGATCCTATCTGGTCAAGGGCTTTCCTGCCCTTCAGGTTCCTAACGCCTTTCTTTAGTTTCTACTGGCTTCAGCTTGCTCATATCAAAGTAATCTTGCAAGTCACCTAATCTGACCTCAGAGATCTTAAGTGACATCATTGAATATCTAGTGTATCTACTGACTAGGACAGCCTCTCCAGCTTAAAGAAATACCACACCGCATCCACCAAACTGCTCAGATAAAAACCATACATGAAAAAACCCCACAGGATTATGGTGCTGAATAAAGGCCTAGAATCATCCAGTTCAACCCTTCATTTTACAGATAAGAAAAGTGAGGCCCAGAGACGTTAGATGGCTTGTCCGAAGTCACAGAGGTAGAATGTACCAGTGATGAAGCAGGAATCCAGGTCTTCAACTCCTTTTAAATTTTATTTTCCTATACTACCTTATTTTATTTTAGTATACCGCTAATTTTACTTCACCGTATCAACCTCTTACTGGAATCTAGTTGTCCCTCTTTCTCCTCTACTATGCATTAGTATCTGTTTGACTAAATATAGTTTGTATCTCCGGGCACACAGCCATTGAAACAAAGAGGCACACAAAAGTCTACATTGTTTACCCAGGGAGGACATCAGAATTACAGCATCACACATTTCAAAGAGGGAAAACAAGGCTTACAGATAATCTAACATGTTAATTCTCAAAATTAAGTTAAAAATTACAAGCAGATTTTTTTCAGTCTATGCCTATGTAATACGTATCTTCCAAACCGGACCTCCTCCCTCCCTGGGAAAATTGTGGCTTTATGGAACTATTACTTTATCCTTCACTTGTGCTGGGGGAGTGGGAAAGGAGATTAAAAACCAGTGACCTAATCCAATGTCTTTCTTTGGCCGATAAAAAATCTCAAGTTCAGAGAGAGGAAGGAGCCTAAAATAAACCATCAAGTTAATAGCAACTTTGGAACAAAAATAAGGCCTCCTGCTTTTCACTTTGTGATTTACATTGCTGGTATAGACGTATAAAACAAAGTTTTCCGGACAGAGCTTCTCATTGAACAGGAACCTTCCTAAGTGCCCAGTTGCCCTTGGCCAGCTTGGTGGCTGCAAAAAAAACACGGTAGAAATCTCTTAGTCAAATTCTGGCTGTGCAGAGTGCAGGGAAAACATGCTTTTCAGGTCTGTAAAGACTCCATGAAAGGGGAGTTGAGAATCTGATTTCCACAGCTAGGGCATGGACCTCAAAGGCATCCAACACAGATAAGCAATCTGCAACACTGAAAGGGTAATGGATCTAGTCAAGGTCACACACTATGTAGGTGAAAGGGGTAAAACTAGAATTCGGGGCTCCTGATACTCAGGCGTTGCAGCCTCTCAAAGATGTGTTCACTGCTTCCTGCTCAGGGATATGCCCCTCAGTACGCTGAACACAGGCCTCCTTCACTTTACTGGCAAACAACGACTTAATATTAAAATTATGAAATTCGTGACGCTCGGAGTGGGAGACAGTCCCAGAAGCTGTCCAGGCCAACACCCTCACCCATTTCATTGAGGAAAGTGGCGCTCAGAGACGGTTCTTTACGCTGGATTTGGGGGCCAGGTTCAGACAAGGAGGCAAACCCCGCAAGCACGGCCTGAAAGGCCAGGAACCACAAATGCAACCCCTGATGTCTCAGGGAGCTCTAGGCCCAAAGGGGGCCAGAGGCCGAGCCTAAACGTTCGGAAGCTGCAGAACCCCCATCCAGCTACCTCAGCCCTGCCGCACACACTCCTGGCTTTGCCACCCTCCTCCCGGTTCCCAGGCCCTCTCGGTCCCGCCTCACCTACTCCGACCCTCCGTCTGTTATTGTGGCCGAGAGGGAGGGACGCTACAGGCACTTCCCGCTGCCCCCACCGCTGAGGCGCTTCCGCTTCCGCCGCCGGTCGCCCATTTCCGGAGTCTTGTCATCCGGGGCTGGACTCGCAACCCGTGTCCATCTTGTGTGTGTAAAGAAGCGTCGAATCGCGGCAGCCATGTTCAGCGTGGCATTTCCGACGTCTTAGAGGTGCTGGTATTTCACGTGACACTAAAGCGCCATGCCGGAAGCACTGAGTCTGATGCGCCGGAACTAGTCTCCAGTGTGTGGTTTGGTCGTGATTTCCATCGGTGCTCGGTGGTCTTGGATAAGCCTCTAGATCTCGCTTTTATCATTTGCAAAGTAAATAGGATCCAATAGAGATTTTACTAGAATCATTCAGCTAAAAATGAAGAACTTTTTTTTGAGAGGAAGGACGGGAGCGCAGTTAAAGATGTTAATGTTAAATCATCCGTGTGTGATTTCAGAACATTGTCTTTGCACGTAAGTAATGATATTTTACAGTCCAAAGGGATTTCACATCAATGTCATTAAAAACTCTACACGACTCTGACTTAGTAACGGATCAACTTAATCACCTTTTTCGTGGTTTAATGTATAAAGAATTCTCTTCAGAGGGTTTAATTGACTTGCACGATGTCACACAGATGGACTGAAATTCAGATTTTTTACCTTTTAAATTCTGTGTTCTTGCACTTATATACATATAATTAATATGGGCTAAAAATGCCTAGATTTAAATAGAGACAAATACTCCTTAGGAAAGTTAGTGTGCATTAAAGCCATGTAAGACAGGATTTGACAAGACGTAGGCATTGATTAGACTATGCTGCGGGAGAAGAAAAAGCTAAAGAAGGCTGGGGAATCCCCTATTTCTTATTATTTTACTGATCGATACCAGACCTACGGGTTTTTCCCCTCTTTCCCCGTTATGATTCAGCACCTTAGGTTTCACCTTGTCTTAGGCAGTGACAGTTTTAGCTATCCCATTCCATACGTCAAACCACGTATCTGTTTTTTGATTTGGAGCTTTGGGAGGACAAACAATACAAAACCTCATCATATTCGTGTATTATTCATCCTAATCTCAGCTTTCATATTACATTCTTCCTGTAAGTGAAGACAAAATTAAATGTTCATGCTATTTGCTTCTGTCAGTTTCTTTCGTATTTAAACTTTAGTAAAGGAAACAGACTTTTCTGTTTCCTAGATCATTCTGAAGAATAAATAGGAATTAGGAAATTTTCTAGTTCAGGGCATGGCATATTTAGAAGGCATGCAGTAAGATTTATTTCAGCACAATTGGCCTGAATTTTTAATTCAATGGCATATCATTTTCATTTTATTAGCATTCCTCTTTTTGTAAAAAGCACTGTGGTGGGGCTTGAAGTGAACACTCATGAATAAGAAAGATCTCCTACCTCAAGTTTAGAAAATTAAAACACACCCATAAATCATTGTAATAAATGTTGGAGATATTTTCTCAGTGCTATGAGTAGTATTTATAAGATATCAAAACTAGTTTTAACATTTTCAGGTAGAGCATGTAATATTTATACCTTCATCTTTAGGATTTATTTGTACCTTGATGATATAGGTTTTCATTAAGAAGGTCGTAAGTTAGTGTTTCTCCTATACAGTGGCATCATCATGGGGTCTCTGAGTGCTGCAGAAAGTTTGCCCTACACTGTATGACCTTAAACCACTGTGTTGTTTTAATTTTCAATCCCCACTTTTTAATTAAATTCTAAAATATCTCTTCTCATTCATCCATGGGTTCTAGTATCAGCTTCTCTTCTTCCTTGAAATTTCTGAGGTACAGAAACAACAGATAATCCCTTTGCTAGAATGATGACTAACATTCAAGAGAAGTTTTAGTCAGGGATAGTGTTTGGAGTTTGTTCAGGACCAGATTGTATAGCTGTGGAGCCTGTTGAGTTCACAACTGCAGAAGGTACTATGTATATCAAGGTTATTCTTACCACCCTTAGACTTGGTGTATATGGCATAACTCTTCTATGAGTTAAAATACAGGATTTTTTTTTTTTTGAAGATAAAAAGAAAAAACTATTGTAGGTGTGTTGACTGAGAAATTGTATATTTAGCAGTCAGCAATGCAGGCTTTAGAATCAGAAAGACTTGGCTAAGTGTGAGTTCCTTTGCTTACTGGCAGAGAGACCATGGGCAATCACTTCAGCTCTACGGCTCAGGTTTGTTAAAATAGACATTATGGTACCTATGTAACAAGTCACTCCAGAATTTCGTAGCCAAAAATTTTATCTGCCGTGATTCTGTAGGTTAACTGGGCTAGCCTGGGCAAGTCCTAACTTGCAGTCTCTGGCATTTAAAGTCAGGTGTCAAACTGAGGCTGTAGTTAATGTCAGGCTCTAATGGATGTTAACATTGATGGCAATTGAGGCTGGCTGATATCTAGATGCTCAATTGAAGCTATTTATCAGAGTGCCTACACTTTCCCTCTGATTTGGGTTGCTTATAACATGGTGTTTGGGTTTTGACAGAGAGTACTTGGAAGTAGAATGGGAAAAAAGGGAGCTGTTCCAAGCAAAACAGGAGGAAGCTACAAAACTTCATATAATCTAGCCTCTGAAGTCCCAGAAGTGACTTCTGTCATATCCTGTTGGGTCAAAAAAGCCACTAAGCCAGCCCAGATTCAAGAGAAGAATAAGAGTCCACCTTTTAATTGAAGGGGTAGTGAAGAATTTGTGGCCATCTATAATTTACCACACTATCTCATGGTTTCTAAATTTTAGATTTTTGAATATATGTATATTTTATTAGCACAAGCATCAAAAAGGAAGTCTTATAGTCCCAACAGCCCAATCTTGTGTTTATGCATGAATAATCTCATACATCATTTTTAAGAAAGATTGTGGTAAAATAATATAACATATTTGTCATTTTAACCACTTTAAGCACACAGGTCAGTGGAATTTTGCACATTCACATTGTTGTGCAACCATTCCCACCACCTATCACCATAACTTTTCTATCTTCCCTAACTGAAACTCATTAAACAGTAATTCCCATGCTCTCCTCCCCTCAGTCCCCTGGCAACCACCATTATACTTTTTGACTCTATGATTTTGACTATCCTAGGTACTCATATAAGTGGAATCATAACAATATTTGTCATTTTGTGTCTGGATTCTTTCACTTAGCATAATATCTTGAAGGTTCATCCATGTTATAGCATGTATTTAGAATTTAATTCATTTTTAATATTAATAAAAATATTGTTTTTGAATAATACTTCACTGCATATATATTCCACATTTTATCAATGCATTGTTATTTATTTGTTGTTTATTTTTGAGATTAAAAACACCTAACATAAAATTTATCGTTTTAATTCTGCATTCCTTTTCATTTTTAGATTTAATTAATGCATTATAATTTTACATATTCAGGGGATACAGAGTGATATTTCAATACATGTATACAATGTATAATGATCAAAGCAGGCTAATAAGCATATCCATTCACCTTAAACATTTGTCGTTTTTTTGCATTGCAAACATTCAAAATGCTCTCTTTTAGCTTTTTGAAAATATACAATAAACAATAATTAATTATATTTACCCTACCATCAACAAATGAATGGATAAAGAAAATGTGGAACATATATACAAAATATGTATATAAAAGAATGAAATCCTGTCATTGGAGGCAACATGGATGAACCTGGAGGACATTATGTTAAGTGAAATAATTCAGGCACAGAAGGATAAAGACTATGTTTTCACTCATATGTGGGAGCTGAAAGGAATTTTTGAGCTGATCTTACCCATTTTTAAGTGTACAGTTCAGTAGTATCAACTATATGCTCGTTGTTCAACAGATCCCTAGAACTTTTTCATTGTAAAACTGATATTCGATATCCATTGAACAAGAACTCCCCATTTGCCCCTCCCCTAGTCCTGGGAACCACAGTTCTACTTCCTGTTTCTGAGTTTGACTGCATTAAATACCTCATAGAAGTAGCTTCATACACTTTGTCTTTTTGTGACTGCCTTATTTAACTTAGTATCAAGTCCTCAAGGTTTTAAGACTGAATAATATTCCATTGCCTGTATATATTACATTATCTATTCATCCATCAATGGGCATTTGGGTTGCTTCCACATTTTTGTTATTGTGAATAATGCTGAAATAAACATGAGAGTGAAAATGTCTTATTGAGAACTTGTTTTCACCTTTTTGCATATATACACAGAAGTGGAATTGCTGAATCATAGGATAATTCTATTTTTAATTTTTTGAGGAGCTACCATACGCTTTTCCATACCAGTTACACTGTTTTATATTCTCGTAACAATGTACAAATGTTCTAATTTCTCCACATCCTCACCCTTATTTGTTTCTTGTGAGGTAATGCTTGTAATCCAGATAGAACAGTGCTTGGCAGGCAGCACTCTATAAATGTCAGCTGTTATTATTTGATTTTTCAGAGACCTCTTTTCCTTCCTGCTTCTCAGCTATTTCTAGATAATTGAAGCTGAATTTGTAGCATATGATATTTCTGAAGTTCACTTTCAAAGTGCCTTATTTTATCCCAAGTAACATAAGAAAATATGTGCAAGGCTGTTGTATGTAGGTGTATACATAAAGAATTGCAGTTTCGAAACCAACACAAGGTGGTAGATTAAGAAAAAACCAAAGCAAAAAACCTGTATTGAAGACTTTTATACTTTTATAAGCATGAACTCTGAGTGAACATTAAGCAGTATTAATCATTAAGGACATTGCTGTTCATTTTTAATTTGGGCCATACTACACAAGATCATGTTTTTGTGACAAGAAAGTGAAGAGGGTAAGAGTGAAACAGGAAATTCAACAAGCTTATTTTTTAAAATTACCCTTAAGTGTTATGGTTTGAATGTGTTCCCCAAAATTGATGTGTTGAAAACTGATACGGTTTGGGTCTGTGTCCCTGCCGAAATCTCATATTGAATAGTAATTTTCCGTGTTGGAGGAGGGACATGATGGGAGGTGATTGGATCATGGGGGCAGACTTCCCCCTGCTGTTCTTGTGAAAGTGAATGCGTTCTTATGAGATTTGGTTGTTATGTGCTTGCTTCCCTGTAACCTCCTACCATGATAGTAAGTTTCCTGAGGTCTCCCCAAAAGCAGAAGCATGTACAGCCTGCAGAACCGTGACCTGATTAAACCTCTTGTCAGATATAGGTGATGGGGGGATGGTTGCAATAAACCACCTTGCCATGAATGTACCTATGCAACAATCTTGCATGATCTGCACATGTACCCCAGAATCTAAAGTATAATAAAAAAATAATAAAGCACAAAAAATAAAATAATATAATTACCTAGTCTGAGATATGTCTTTATAGCAGTGTGCAAATGGACTAATACGGAAACTTAATACTCTATGCAACAGTGTTGAGAGGTGGAACTTTTAAAAGATGATTAGATCATGAGAACTCTGCTCTCACAAATAGATGAAT